AGACATGTTTTCTTTCAACTATGAGGAATTGGAATGTCCACTTCCCAAAATACCACAACATGTACCAGGAAATCGATGCCTTGCGGCATTTTCCCCTGCGATCTTTCCCTGTAGCCTGCTTGATTGACTGATTTTGACGAGAAAAGCGTGAAATCAATCACTGATAGGCAGGAATCAGAGATCGTAGTTAAACTGGTTAAGCCAAGACAGGATGATGGTTGCCGCCAACAAAGAATGGGAATGATGTGAGGCAGAATATGAGCAATCTGACAGGAGCAACAAAATCAAGCTGCAAATGGCCTGAAACCTGGTTTCCCTCGAGGATTTTACACCCCCAAACTTCTTGGCCATAGTTTCACATCAAATGTTTTTTCTTGTTTGATTCAAGATCAGTTTTTAGTCTATGTTTTAGTGATGTATAATGTTTCCAGCATCAATTCCCTGTCAGATTGATGTTTGAACATTGTGGATTCTATGAACACCAGTAACATCCAGCAGATTCATGTCTCAGATTTCATCAGATTTCATCTCCAAACATCTCCTGATTTTTAAAGATCTCAACGGATATCCATGTCACATTTTCATGTTGGACAGTCATAATGACAGCTATGGATCTACCCTCTGGTAAACATACAAAAAGCTATTGAACATGGCCATAAAAATAGTGGATTTTCCCATTAAAAATGGTGATTTTCCATAGAAATAGTGGATTTTCCCATTAAAAATGGTGATTTTCCCATTAAAAATGGTGATTTTCCATAGCAAACTGTTAAATAACCAGAGGCTGTCCACCACGATCCAGCCTTTTTCAGCAACGGCTGAGGTATTATCCGGTGGCATCCGACACCTTCTATGGCTCCCTGCCACTTGGAGTGATTTTTTTGGAGCGAAGGGGGGCTGGGTGAAACATGGTGAAACATGTTAAGATCACTATGGTTATACTTATAAAATGTTATAAACTATATCAGAATGATATATATATATATATAATATAGACTATAGCTATATAAGTATATCAAGTTATAACTTATAAACACATTTCAACAAGACGTCTCTAAACATGTCTTAAACGGTGAAAAATGGCATTGTCTGAACATCGGGAATGCCCCAGATCTCCCCAGAAAACGCTGGATTTCGGGGGTACCAACTTTTCCAGACAAAGCCATAAACATGTGTAGTTAAGTTTACGGGTATCAACCTTTGACTTAGTATGTTTATAACCAACTGAATACTATAGTGAGATTGGATTTTCTCACTTTTTTACAATCTAGAACACTATAGCTGCAGATTCATATTCTGGTTGGTGGTTTGGAACATTATTTTTCCATATATTGGAAATGTCATTATCCCAACTGTTACTCACTCCATCATTTTTCAGAGGGGTAGGGCTCAACCACCAACCAGTATTGGTATTTTATTCATAACATGAGTACAGCAGTCTTTCAGCCTGAGGTGAGAAATATCCAGTAGTCCCAAGCTTTGATCATGCCCAGGCGTCAGTTCTTTCAGGAGGCCCAACGGCCCAACCAGTGGGCGATGGGGCGGTTTCACGTTACCAACGCGTCGACTCTACGACTCCTGAGTGGGTTTCGAAAAAAGCGATGCCATGATGGTGACATCAATTGCAACTGGGATTGGAGTTTTTTTAAAGATCAATTAAGCATGATATATTAAATATATTAACATCCCGACTTTGAAGTGATCGACAACAGAGAACCCGCGGCGGAATGTTTCTTCCTGGGCCTCCCAACTTGGACAACCTGGTCGAAGGCGTTTGATTGAGGGGAACTACCAAAAGCCAGTGATTTATCATTATTTCCATATCATTTCCCCCATTGTTATGGCCATAAAAACGGGGCATTGTACCGTACCTCATTTTTGGTTTTGACAAACATTTCAATCTGGCTTTGAACCATCGAGCTCTACGTGGATGGAAAAATATCTCCTCAATGGAGTTTCTTTCGAGGGCTAAAGGGTAGATCAAACTATGAAATGTATGAGCATGGATTATGTTCAAATTGGGGAATCTGATGCCCGGCTAAAGGCAAACATGGGAAAATTGCTGATCAAAGATTGGCCGTGATGCAAAACACAGCAGTGTTTCAAGAATGCCCAGGCAACCAGGCGGTATCAGTCCTCCTCAACTTTGTGAAGTCAGTCATTTATGAAATCTACCCCGATACCCAGTGGACCAGTTGTCAGGTATGGCTCAAACTGACAAAATTGGATGGTGATCATCCTAAGCATCCACTGCTTAAACATCAGTTTTCCCTGAAAACCATGGATAAAACATGTCCTTCGTTGGGGTTAGACCCCATTTTCGGACCCGACCAGCCAATCACTTGTTCGTCGCAGGCAGACCAGCAGTCGGGCTGCTCAACAGACTAACGTCACGGGGAAGCATCACGGATGCAGTGAAACCTCAACATGGACGCATCATTAACGAAACAGAAAGGGAGACGTACTCAGTGGTTTCATGTGGGAGTAGAGTGCCATTTGATCATTGCCGTACAGGATACCCTCTGGTAAACTAACATAACTATGGAAAATCACAATTTTTTATGGGAAAATCCACTATTTCGACTGGGCCATTTTCAATAGCTATGTAAAATCCTTGGACATGGGAGGGCCATTTGGCACCGCTGGTCTCGTCCTAGGAGATCCTATCAAAACGCGCGACAGGCGGGGGACGAAGCTCCGATTGACCCTAAAAAAAGTAGGGGGTTGGAAGATTCCACCAACCACCAAGATTGGTGGTAAAATCTGGAATTTACCATAGCTATTGAAGCCATGGCCCAGTCGAAATAGTGGATTTACCCATTGAAAATGGTGGATCTTTCCATAGTTATGATGTTGGGAAAGAAGATTTTCTGGAAATGGCAGGCTCCATGTTTCAGAGAGTAGCATTTTGAAGTTGGCTTGGTTCTCCTTATCTGAATTTGGTATAAATTAGCAGGACACAATTAGGATACATATGATACCTGTCCCAAGCAGCATGATGTCTCCTGCAAAACACAAGACTGGCGATCTGAAAGAGGCCAATCATCCGACAATTGGGCACCAACGGACCGACAAGATAGGATTTTCTTAGCCTTCAACCATCCATTTGTATTCATTTTTGTTGCTGAAGATTTTGAGCTGCACACACACATTGATTCTCAAATTCAATGGTCTGGCTCTGCTCGCAGGATATGCTTAGTGGATTTTGGATGACTGGTCAGGGCACTGTCGCTTGACCCAGTGGGCATTCCGAAACCCGGCAAGTGGGTCCATGGGGTCCATGGGGTCCATGGGGTCCATGACAAGTGAGGGATGCCAAGGAGCTTCACATGTGTATATATAATATATATATATATATAATTATATATATACATACAGGATGGTGCCCCCCAGTTATAAGTTGGTTTATAACCCCCATTAGCTATAGTTATATCTGCCATAAACCATAGTTATGAGAGTTATAAACCAACTTAGCTAACTATGGGGCACCACCTTGTACAATGATATACCCATTATTAATGACTGTATATACACTGCACGAATGTTTACGCCTTTGACCATATTTGACAAACAGTCTGTACACAGCGTGACCAATCGCAGAATGCAGCATATGATCATCCTGGATTTCTAAGTAGAGCAGGCACGACCATTTCATCCGTCCTAGTGGGGGTCAAATGTGTGTTGCCGGCATAACACCCTTCCTAGAATGGCCATGTCAAACAGGTTCAATCAGGATATTCTACAATGAATGAACATCCCAAGAAGTTTTTGATGAACACCAGGGCAATTATCGATGTGAGTTGACCCATATGCCCATACCTGACCCGTAATAAGGGAACCAACGTGCATTGTGCTCCAGCTCTGAAACCAAAGGCTCAACAAGATGCATGAGAGCTCAAGAAGCCTTCACTTTCTTGCTGTTTCACCTCTGGTAATCAAACGTGGCAAAGGGAAAACCCTTGTAAATGGAGGGCAATGGGAAAACCCTTGTAAATGGAGGTGTATATATAATGGTTTATAGCTGGGAAATAATCTACAAAAGTAGTTTCATAAGTAGATTCCACATTTTTCAAACAACACAAACTTCCCATTTGTGTTGGTTGCGTTTACACGTTTGTGTTGTGTTGTTTGGGCCGAGGCAACAGCCCTCTTCTTGACCTTCCAAGTGGCCACTCGACGGTGATGGGTTTGTCCCCAGTTTGCATTTTTTAAATCACCAGTTTCTGGGGGTACTCAATAGAACCACTATGATATATGTAAATTCAGGGTGATATATATATATATATACATATCTCTATATCTATATATACACATACATATATATATAGTTATATATATACATACATATATGTATGTAGACACATCATTATATGAGCTAAAATTGGACAAGTTATCTGAGATTCTTGGCAGAAATTTTCGGATTGATCAACTCCTGGGACTAGGTCACCTGTTTTTGACGAGGACGACCAATACTTGGGATCCCTATATGGAAAGCCCCCAAAAATGGGAATTTATAACGATCAAAAGTCGTGGTTGCCTCTTTTTTTCGGCCTTCTGAATCTTCTGAATGAGTTAACAAAAAAGCTGCTGAAGCTGATAAAGGCAAAAGTTCATCGATGTGATAGACATTCCCAAGTTGAAATTGACAAAAACGATCACCTGCCATGGGTTGTCTCACACTATACATTTTCATTGAGGTAAAGCGGGTACAGCGTACACCATAACTACAATCCATGGTCGCCCCCGTGTCTCCAAGGCTGCTCAGTCAGGCGATCCGAATCATGGGGCTTTGAGCAACAGAAATGGTGATTTTTCAGCAAGCAACATGTGAATTTAGATAGGTAAGTTGGTAGACACAACTAGGGGAATTCTGGGGAAAAATATGGGATTTGTGGCGGATACATCTAGAGATGGGTGAAACTAAAAGAATTTATAAGTGGAGAATTCCAGCTTGTCGGAGGTTTTGAGTTTTGATGAAACGTGCAGACGTCCGTAGCCATTCTGCCTCAAGCTGTGCCCTATCAAAGGGCCACTTGTTTTGCTACACATGGCTTTCTTTAAGCTGCATCTTTTGCTGGGTGCCTGCTGGGCACTGCCAGCTGTTTCTCTCACAGTGCCTTCGAAAGCCTTGTGGTTTCAACAGAAGGTCAATCATTTTTCTGCTTCGAATGCCACGTATCTGCAGAGATATTACATGGACGACAAGCACTGGGCCGGCCCCGGCTCTCCAATCTTTGTGATCATGGGAGGCGAGCGGGGCATCCCCCCGGAGATGGGCATCTTCTGGCCCTGGATCTCCGAGGTCCTGGCGCGGCAGTTTGGCGGCCTCGTGCTGGTGCCGGAGCACCGCTTCTATGGCGAGTCCCTGCCCTATGGCCCGGCCTCCTATGAGGCAGAGCACCTGAAAGGGGCGATGACTTCGCAGGAGGCGCTGGCTGACGCGGCAGAGCTGATCCGCAGCACTCAGCTGGCGCGGAATTGCACAGTAACGGGCACCAGTGGCTACTGCCCCGTCCTTGTGATTGGAGGCTCCTACTCGGGTTTCCTGGCTGCGATGATGAGAATGAGATATCCAGCAGTGGTGGATATGGCCTATGCCTCCTCGGCTCCTCTGAAATTTTATTCTCAGGAGGTGGGCCAGTACGCCTACTACGCCAAGGTCACCGAGTCGGCCGAGAAGTCCATGAAGGGCTGTGCAGCTGCGGTGCTGCAGGCGTTTCAGAAGATGATGGACTTCTTTCAAACAGCCAACAGCAGCCAGATCGCCCAGCAGTTTTCGGTTTGCGAGCCAGTGTCGCAGCCGGCCGACCTGGCAGACAATCTCTTATTCCTGGCTGAGCAGACCTTTGCGACCCTCAACATGGTCAACTATCCACCCAACAGCAACACAGGCCTTCGTCGAACTTGTGGCAGCTTCATCGCAGCTGCAGGCCACAGGGAACTGGAGGCCTTCCGCGACTTGTTCCTACAAGAGACTCACCTGGGCTTTATGAATCAACCTCTGAGTCGCAGCACCTGTTTCAACGTCTCAGCACACCTCCCAGCCGGCGAGTCGGCCACTGCCAGATGTGGAGACTGGTCTGGCTGCAGCTCCGGCCGTGACGGAGAGATGTGGGACTTCCAAACCTGTAGCTTTGAGGTCGAACGCATTGGTTTCGGAAGCGAAGAGCAGATGTTTCCGTCGCATCCATGGACCATGGAATGGCTGAAGGAGCACTGCATGAAGCGCTTCGCAGTGCGTCCGCAGCCGAAAAGTCTGGTGGATCTCTGGGGCTTTGATGAGGCAACTCTGGTGAGTTCCACCTCGCGGATTTTGTTTGTGAATGGCTTGAACGATGGTTGGTCCGTGGCTGGCATCCTGCAGAATCTTTCCAGAGAGAAAGGCTTGATCGCCATTAACCTGCCCAATGGTGCGCACCATAGCGAGTTGTCCCTTGGATTGGAGGAGACCGAAGAGGTTCGACAGGTACGCCAGCAGATTTTGGCCATCGTTGGTCAGTGGTTGGAGGAGATTAATTAAGCATCCGAAATGCTGAGGATCATAGCTTGAGGTTTGGGTCAAAATTGAAGATCAACCCATGGAGATCCATGGAGTGTTTGGTGTTTCATCCAACTTTTGGGGGACAACCTCAATTTTGACCCATAGAAAGGTGATGTGCTGGATCTTTTCTGGCATTATCCGGAAGATGTGAACAGTGGGGCAACCAATGAAAGAAGTGTTGCCAAGATGGTCGATCTTAGTACCTGGTACTGTCCCAAAGTGGAAATTTCCAGTGCCATTCAACATAGGGATTGGCGAATGGTTTTGAGCGCAAGTTGAACCTTGTTGATGTCGATAGCAGCTAGCAATTGTTGGGGTATCCCTCGTGGCAAAATACACTGATGTTTTGGATGGCGCTGATCATTTGCATGTGCGACTTTTGACCTCGATTTCCGTGCAGAGGAAGTGCCAGAGATCGTCGCGGCATTGTCGCGTCTGGATTTTGTATCCCGAGATGTGGTCCAACCGGACTTTCATGGGGTTGTGTAAAGTGACGCGGCGATGATTGCATGATCCAAGCAAGAGAGACTTGCAGCAGTTCGAAAGGAAAAGGAAACGTGCAGACTATTTGTGGTGTTTGCAGTATTTGCACTGGGGCAGCCCCATGTTTTAAAGGGTTTCTACTGTGCAAAAACTCATGGGTGGTGCAACACTGCAGTAGCATGCGGTAGCGAATCTTGATTGTTTTTCTTTCGAAAGTCAATTTCCAAAGGTTTGTCATATTAACCGTTTCTTTAAAAACTCAATACTATTGAGTTACTATTGGGTACTAGGTGGATTTCAACCATTCTTAATGGGGCGCTCAACCATAATAAAAAGGGATTTCAGCCAAAGAAATGGGAGGTCCAAACTTTCACATGGCTCATCCCTGAAGCCAGGCTCGACAACGGCGCAGGATTGGTGTGGACACCCGGGGTTATCGTTCGCAATGTAACAACGGGGTGAACAGATGGTAGATGAGTAAACACAACAAACAACCACCAAAATATTTGTTATATATCTATATATAATGTATATATATATATTATATACATATATTATGTTTGTTATAAACACACATATAATATATGATATATGCATATTCATAAAGGGCATCAAGAAGCCAATACATTATCACAAAAAACTCTCAACATTTCCATCATAGAATCGAGGGTGTGGGCCATTCCCAACGTGTTTTGGTTTTCCGGGAGATCCATATCCATCCCAGTTGCTGGTTTCTAAGCATGGTGATTTTAGGGGGGGAGTCACCATCAAATCCCATTAACCAATCTCGTTAGATCCCATTGAATCCCACATGTGGGGACACAACTGATATATTCCATGAAACTCGATGCATTCTCGTTAAATCCTCACTTCTGTCCCTACATCCACTAGTTAAATCCTCACTTCACTGGCTTTTCGAGGGGATCCGAACGGGGTGAACCAAGGCAAAGCTATCAACAGCTTCGAAATCGCTTCACGCCCAGCACGTTGGGTGCTGTTTGGTTGGCCCAGAAACTGGAGGATTCAGGGCGAAGAATGGGGTACCCATGGATTCAGTGCCAATTCTTCACTTTAGCCCTAAGTCAAATTGGGGCTGCCTTCTCAAAATTCATGTGGGGTAAAACAACATATTTATACCATTTATAGCATCATTTTTCTACCATGGTACCATAACAATGCCATTTTTACCAAGAATTTTCGAATGGTGATCTCTAACGACTCCGCGAAAAGCGTTTAGGACGAATCCTGGACGATGGAAAAAAGACCGGTTGTTTGTCACATGCAGAGAACATCCTGACATGTCCTGATATATAATGATAATATATATATATATATTAACTAATTATATATATATATATTATTTTATATTATATGTATTATAATATATTATACATAATTATACATATATTATACATATATTTGAGCTGCGGAAGGTCAGGAGACAAGTTTCATACGCCACTCAGGGTTGACTTTTTGGATACACTGAGGCCTGGATGGCTCCCAACAGCTCAGTGCTGGCGGCTGGAGAAGTGGCCACCGCGGTTTTCTGGCTGCACCGGGGACTGAACGAAGAGAATTTGAACGGTGTTGGGGATAACCATGGGGATTTTGCGGGCAAAGAAACTTGATGTCAAACTCTGGATCGCCATATTTTTGTAGCCTCTGGTTATGACGTTTACAGTTCGCCATGGTTTTTCGATGGCCCATAGAAATAGATGGTTTACCCACTAAAAATGGTGATTTTCCATGGCAAATCGTTAAATAACCAAATGGTAACTTGATAGAAAAACATCAAGCACTGCATGACTTGACGACTTGACCAATAAGAGTTCTGATTTCATCTACCTTCTCATGACTGATATGGTGGACCAGGAATTTGCACATTTGAAACACCAATGGGATTACATTTCCTGTTTCACCGAGAAAATCTAGAAAGTGGCCATTCTGTGCCATGGCCAGGGACTGCCAATTCATGCGATTTTCACAAATTACTATCGCTGTGTGGTTGTACGTAGTTTTTGCTCATGCTTCGTCCCTAGTTTGGATGATGATTTCCATTTGACTCATGTTGCCCATGCTTAACAGGGGATGGGTTTAAGCTACCCACGAGGGATTTCAACAAAAAAAACGCCATTCTGATGCTATAAACCATTCCTGTTGGGCAACGCACCCGCCTTGAACTATGGTGGTCAAAAACACCCACCCGTGGCAGGCCGTGGTACAGCAGCATGCAAGGCCGACTGACTCAGGGACGGAAACGGGGGACCACGAACACAAGGAAAACTATGTGGAAACTAATCCCATCTGGTTATTTAACATAGCTATGGAAAATCCATTATAAATGACCATGGGCCATTTTCCATAGCTATGTTAAATAACCAGATGGTATATACTGTGCCAAGAATTTGTCAATATATGGGGTTGTACCATGGATAGCTGATGCAAAAAATGATGCTTAAGCTGATTCATGGTGGGCCCAAGGGTCCGTTGAGGTACTACCGATCGAAGCCATGATCAGACACAACGTGGGAATATATGGGAATCCTTAACCAAGCATCCACCTCCGTTTTGGTTATTTTGTTCCCGTTCAAAAAAAAATGGTACAACGGTACAAGTGAAAATTAGCAACCATGGAACATGTATATATAATTATATATACACACTTATATAATACATATATATATATACACAAGATACATATACATATAGGGACCATCACCATCTCAGGCGGTGGGAGACAGACAATGGGCCATATATATATACATACACATGTATATATATATATACACATATATACATATATATATACATATATATATGTATATATATATATACACATGTATATATATATATACATATATATATACATATATATATACATATATATATACATATACATATATATACATATATATATACATATATATATCTATATACATACATACATACATACATACATACATACATACATACATATATATATATATACATATATATATACATATATACATATATATATACATATATATATATACATATATATATATATACACATATATGTATATGGGAATATATGGGAATATCAGAAGGCTTTGGGCAGGAGCGTGGCGATCTTCTCCATCATTTTCCCGGCATTGCATGGGGCCCCTGGAACTTCCGGCGCCGGAGAAACCGCAGTTGATGTCAGTGAAAACCGCCAGAAAAAGACCACCTCCTGGTGATCTTTTGAATGATGATTAATGATGATTAATAATCTGGAAAAATCCTAGATCATCAATTTCTTGGAATTTCCCAGTCTAGATGATTCATGATCATCTTTCTTAATCATAATTTCCAATGCAAGGCTCAAGAAAACTCACCACCGACAGCTGAGGATTCTGATGTTCATCACCTGCAGCTGGGGGCTAGCCTTCACCACAGCCCTGCTAGTGGTACCTTGATGGCAGGGATGGAGGTTTTGAGACAGGGGCATGGGTCTCTCCAAACATATGGGAATGTACTGATGCTATACTAATACACTTTGCGATGTAGTAGGATAGATTCTCAACATATACCGATTGGTGGTTTGGAACCATGGAATTTTATGACTTTCCATATTGGGAATTTCATAATCCCAACTGACGAACTCATATTTTTCAGAGGGGTAGGTATACCACCAACCAGTATACCTCAACATGTTATGTCTGGGTTTCTTCAACGGGCTTTGCCTCCAAGATACGGCCATTTGGCCCCCCGGAAAAATACCTCAGCCGAACTGTCGAGGGACATCCTGATGCCCTGGTGAACCCCCAATGTATAGGTGGTAAGCGATGTAAGTGGACGGTCACGACCGGCCAAAATATGATAGGTTTTGATACATTCCAATAGAGGGACAACACCAGCAACCACAGCAACAATCTGATTTTTCCAATTGTGTTATTGCTGTGGTTGCTGGTGTTTTTCCGGTTTATGTCCCAGAGGATCCATGTATGGAATATTTACCTACATTGACCCCAAATAATCCCAACTGGTTGGTAAATATTCCAGCACCATGGATCCTTAGGGTGTTATTGAAAAACACCAAAACCACAGCAACTTTTCTGTTTTTTCCGGTTGCATAAACTGATGTTTTTTCCACAGCTTGATCTGAGGCCTTCTCCATGATGGTCTTGGAATTCCACCACACACGCTCCTTTGCCTGGAACATCATAGCTCAGTGCGTCCTGGCTTTTGTACATCATCTATTGTATACTTATGATATATATATATATATACATATGTGCATCTATCAATCACATATATTATATATCTATGTATATGTATATATATATATATGTATAGAGACACATCTACATATGTATAGAGATAGATAGATATACAATATCTATATCAGATGGTTGGCCGTGGCTGGATCTCCCTGCCCCAGGTGTGAATCAGTTGGAGGCCGCGGGGCCTGGTGATTCAATGGTGATTCAATGGATGTTCTATCAATATTAAGTGGATTTAGGATTTATAGTTTTTTTTTTTTTCCTAGGCAGTTTATAACGTTTCTCATGATCTATATAATGAATTTATTATACTATCTATAGATATTTTATGTGGTATGCCATGATATTACACACCTTGTGATGATTTTACATAGCTATGGAAGCCATGGCCCATGTTTTCCCCCACCATTTGTAGATCATTTTCCGAACGGGAAACCATGGGGAAACCCAAACACGATGCTGGTATCATGTGGATACAGTGCATGAGTACATGGGATAGGGTATATGTATATGTGTCATATAACATGTGTGCAACCCAGTGTAGATACGAAATTGGAATTG